TAAGTCAAATGGTCCACTCCTTCAACTAAGCAAGACTTATCTACAAATAAATTGCTACCTTCAACTGGCATACCAGTTACCTCCTCTTGACCATGTTTGTTTAAAGACAGGTGCTTTGTCTGAATGCTAAGGCAATGCACATGAGAAGACAGTGGACACAATAGTGTAATATTAATTACACAATAGTGTTAGGAGCCAAAATGAGTATTTTCTCCAACCCTATAGAAAAGTCATTGATTATAAAAAACAGAAGAGACTGTTCTGGTGCTTCAAGGTACAGAACTCTGGAACCTTGAATTAGTACATATTTCAATGTTTGGACAGATCCCCACCACCCCCTTAGGCACGCTAGCAGGTGAGAAGGACTTCACCTATCAGATTCTTTCATAATAAAACAGCAACATAAATCCTACCCTTAAGTACACCTGGTATTCAGAATGCAAGGCTCTCTTCCCTAGAACCTCACAAAGTAACCTAAAGTTCTAACCTGCTCCTATTCTGGCAGATAACTGATTGAAAAAACTAATATTGAAAAGGGAAAAATCCACAGACACTCTTATCATTCAGTTCTCTAAAGTCTCCACCTACCAAAATGTATGCTTTCACCTTTCATTGGAATTATAAAAGAATACGCTAGAAAGGCATTTCTGTCTTGTAAAAACAACTTTGAGCCTGCCATGGTGGTACCTATCTATAAATCCCAGTATTAGGAAGCTGAGGCAGGAGGATCATGCATTCAAAGCCAGCCTGGGCTAAATAGCAAGACCGTGTCTCACCAAACAAACAAAACAGGCTGGGGGTTGTGATTCTAGGATAGATAGCATGCAGGATGCCCTGGGTTCCATCCCTAGCACACATGCACACTCGTACAATACATGCATAACCTCCCCACCCCCGAAAAAGAGCTCATTTTAAAAAAAACGGGGCTGGAGGGAAAGAGACATACATAGGACAACAGAATCTCCAAAAGTTAAAATTGCCTGGTATGGTGTAACACACCTGTAATCCCAAACCTGTTGGGAGTATCGAGAGTTTGAGGCCAGCCTAGGCTACATAGTAAGATCCTGTCTCAAAAAAAAAAAAACAAAACACTACCATCAAATATATTGTGTCATCTTATTTTGAGTCTCTTGATTGAAAGTTAAAGCCCTGAGAGGTCACCTATACATTTTGACTTCAGGAAGTTCAACGCTGAATTTTATGCTCACTGTCAGTGCTGTCCTCAGCCCTGGGGTACAATACTTCCATCTTTCTATTGCTATCACACACTCAGCTTTTCGCTCTTGGGTTTTTTTGTTTGGTTAGTTTTTTGGGTTTTGGATTTTTTTGTTTTTTGGGTGTTTTTAGTTTTTTGTTTTATTTTGTTTTTTGGTGGTACTGGAGTTTGAACTCTGAACCTCTGAGTCATTCTACCAGTCCTGTTTTGTGTTGGGTATTTCTTGATCCTCTTGATCTCTGCCTCCTGAGTAGCTAGGATCATAGATGTGAGCCACCAGTCTTGGCAGCTTTTGCTTTTTTCATACCAAAGATGAACCCAGAGCCTCAGGCATGTTTAGCATATGACTTACCACCAAACTACAACCTCAACCCTCATTTCTTTTTTGGAAGTGGAGGCTAGGAATGTGGTTTAGCAGTAGAGTGTGTGCTATATATAACACAAGGCCCTAGTTTTAATCCCCAACAAACACACACATACACACACACAAAATAAAAAACTTCTCTATAAGTGTTACAATTTTTAATGAATGCCTGCCCCCCTCTTAAAAAAAAAAAAAAACAAAAAAAACTCCCCTCTCTACACTCCTACATATTCCAATTACCTGGAACAGTTTCTTCTGTTTCTGTAGTCAATGACTTCTCCCTTAGGAATGGAGGAAACACGCATTTTGGCCCCTAACACTATTGTGTTACTAATTTTTTCATGTGCACTGTCTTTACATTTGCATTGTCTTAAGATCCTCAAAGACTGTGAGAACCAACATCTTTTTACCCCAGCAGCATCAAAACAAGCCTGTACATCCTTCCATTAATGGGAAAACTAAGTCAACATTTTTGAAAACTCAGTAGGTGAAGCCATGTGGGAGGTAATAGACTGAAAATGAGATTTCTACTTAAAGCAGTTTGCAAGCGGAAAGAAAGAAGATATGCAAATTACCTATACCACCAACAGAGGATGCATGTATGTAAACACAAAAAAAAGTTCCTAAAGTGGCTACATTTGGCAGGATTAGTCTGAGAACACTGAGTCATATAAATCAAGTCAAAAGTCTTATAGTCAAGTCTTGTCCATTCAGCCACAAATAATGACTCCAAAGAATACAAGGCAATAGCACTCAAAGAACAGCAAAAGCATTTCCATTAGTGCAGTAAAGAACAGCAAACATCATTAGACAAGGCAAGTGAGCTTTGGGAATGGTTAGCAGAGGGCCTGGACAACAATGTCTGGGTTTCTTGGAAAGTGATTCAGTAAGGTGTACATTTTGGAAAAGGATTCACAGCTACTGTGCCAAGGATAGGAGGGAAAAGCCAGAATAAAAAGCCTGAGAATATATATTAGAGGGGCATAACAGATAAGACAGCTGGCCTGTCTGTACTATTCTCAAATAGGAATTTGTGACAAGTAATTTCAGCTCACTTTTGCCATGACAGCCCAAAGAGCCAGAGCAGGGGCACTTGAATCAATCTCTTTCTCTCTCTCAATTAGTGTGTGTGTGGCTTTACCAAAGGTTTTAGATCATGTGTGACCTCAAGAACATACTTAAACTTCTTAGCCAGGTGTGCAAATTTGCAGGACAAACTACAGTGGGGGACCACTTCCATGCCTTTCTGGCCACTCAGTATCAGCCATATGATCCTTCTCAAATACAAGTTATTCCTGTTTCTTAGGCAGAGATATATAAAATGCCTACCATAGTGAGTAGCTCAATAAGTTCTCATCCAATATTATTAAGAAAATACACAATAAGGTATGGACCACCTTGCTTTAATGTCAGTCCTCAAGAATCCTCGAGGATCCTTCCAGGTTGGAAGTCACTGTCAGCGAAAATAAACAGCACAGAAGAGCAATCAATTCCATCAGCAAGCACTTACGTGGCAGCTATCAAACTCAGCATTGCGCTAAGACAACATTAGGAAGCCAATGCCGCACCAAGCAAGTAAGGAGATAATGCCAAGGGCATATGTTGCAGGGCAAAGATCAGAAGGAGCAAAGCAGGTGTTTAAAATTGGAAATGAAATGAGAAGCCAAAAATTCTGGTCAGAGAGTGGTATGCTGAGCATTGCACTTCAGGAGACCCTTGTGGCAGTATGCCAGACAAACTAGAGTTGGGGACCACTTCGAGGGCCCACTTCCAAGCCTTGCTGGCCACTCAGTACCAGCTAAATGACTGCTTTCAAACATCTAAGTAAGATTCCATTTCTAACCTGCACTGATTCATACTGCTGGTCATTAAACTGACATAAGCCATAACAATACATCAGCATCTTAACTAATTTCTTGACCCTACTTTTTAAAAATCTTTACTTTTAAGAAATCAAGTAAATTCAGTAAACATTTGGGCTTCAGATTCAGTCTGAAAACTTAGAAAAGAGGGAATCATCTGTACAAAGTTCCCCAACATTAAAAAAAGAGAGAGGACAGGGCTGGGGGTGTGGCTCAGGGGTAGAAGGCATCTGGGAAGCCCTGGACTGGGGCCTGGGGGGGAAGGGGTGTGGGGGAGAAGAAGGGAGGAGGAAGAGTGAAAGAGGGGGGTGCTGAGAGAATGTAAGCTGTTACTGCCAGAATTTATGGGTTTTCTCCTCAACCTCATCCTTCTCCTACCAGTTTTCAAACACTTGTCTGTCATAATTACCTTAAACAAAACAAGATGTGAGAGTAACTAGAAATTAATCAGTATCTAGTAGTTGAAATTGTCTGATCAATTCAGTTTCTCCTTTTCTAAGGCCAGGCATCTTTGAGAGCACAGTTTCAATCCCAAATACACTTCCTAGCTGTTTGGCCTCAAGCAAATCAAACTCCTAAAGCCTTACTTCCACATTGTAAACAGTTTGTTGTGAGAACTAATAAGCTAATATTATTCAAGTGAGTGGAATATATAATAAGCATAATATATACCATTATTTTCATCTTTATTTCAACATTTTTAGACACCTGTAGCTATCAGGGACCCACATATCACATTTTTTCTGTAACAATAAGATTATGATTATTTCATCATTATTGAATCTGAAACAGCGCAGCCTGATAAGACATAGCGATGGCCTTACTTGTTGCAACACCTGTAAGAGATGACTGTCACAAACTAGCCATGCTCAGTCTGCAACAATGAGGTGCCAACATTTAAGACAGCTTCACCTTCTTACTTCATTCAACGAACTCATTTCTTTGGAACTGGAAACAGTAGCGTCACTTCTGAACCGGTCTGTCAGATATGCTTCGAAATGTATGAATATGACTCTCAGAAATGCATTTGACTAAAAAAATGTGTTTGTGTTTCCCAAAAAAACATTTCCCAGTTTGTGAGTTCAAAACACTTTCTTTTATTTCCTCTTTTCTACCTGGAAATCTGGTGAGGAGGAACCAAAACACCAAGGCACCCCCTCCTGCCTCCCTATATACTGACAGAAACATGTTCTTTTCCCTTCCCCTGCACTAGAATCTGCAAAGAACAAAATTCCAAGTGCACCCTCTTGGGCCAGGCGAAACAAGCGCTGAGGTCATCTGGCGAACAGGTGAGCGAGGGTGGTTGTGCCCAGGAGAGGCTCCATCAGGTGAGGAGCCCAGCTCACATCCCCCAGAGGAAGACCAGAAGCCTAGGATCCACTCCACACTCCACGCGCAATACACTGCCCCCACTACAGCCCCGGTCCCCGTCCCGGCCGCAGACCCCTTCCGGGATGCCCTGACAACTGCTCCTGGAGACGCGGGTACCAGCGCTGGGTCCGCGCGCACACGTGCCGGGGTGGCAGCAGGCCCGGTCACCCCCAGCCTTCGCACTCACCTGGCCGGTGATGCCGGTGATGAGCGCCACCTTCCTGGGCTTGCTCATCTCACAGTCCCCGGAGTCCCGGGGGCTGGAGTAGCGTGCCGGCGCGTGGGCCATGTTGCCTCGGGCGGGAAGGCGAGCGGCGGAGCGGTCGAGAGCAGAGCAGGGCGGAGCGCGACGCGGGCGGTAATGCCGGCAGGGAGGTGGGGGTGTGCCCGCGAGCGGGCCGCCTCGCAATACTGAAGGCGGAGGGAGGTGCGCCGCGCGGCTGGCCGCCACGGTCTGACAGGGCGCGAGGAGGCCGGCCAAGGAGGGGAGGGGGCGGGCCGAGGCGAGCTGGGCGGCGAGCTGCAGGGCAGCGACCTGGCCGGCGCCGCTTCTGTCACGTCAGCAACGACGCTACTGCGGCGACCGCGGCAAGCCCCGCCCCGCCGGCGGCCGCCACGCCACGCCCCCTCGCCAACGGCCGCGTTGGAGGGGCGGGGCCTGCCGCCGCCGGGGCGCCGGAAAGAGGAAGGATGCTAGTCGGCGCCTGCCGCTCCCTAGCAGGGCCGAGTGTAGAGAACTGACACGGGGAGGCTTGGACTCCAACCTGAAGTCCTCCCTTCCGCCTTGCCGAATCTCCCAGAAATCCCGTTGTCACCTGAGTATGCTGGGAGGAACCCTGGGCTGACTTTTGAATCCCAAATCCAGGCGTCACAGGACTGGGGTCAACCTTAGTAATTCCTGGAAGCCTGTTGCACTGCGTTTTTGAGGAGCCTGGTTTTACATTACTTGAAAGACACTAGAGTCACAGGGCCTCTAAATGGAGTTACAGATGTGGGGAATAACTAACCTCGGTCCTAGCCTGGCTTTCTGACTTCTAGCACTTTCCTGAACCTTGGAGTTAGGCGTGGAGGTTCCAAGTAACAGGACTCAAAGTGCAGTGTTCTAGTTTGCAGGACTCTGGCCCCACCCATGTGCAGCATAAGGAAAGACTGTATGGATCAATGAACCTGGACATGGCAAATTTCAAAGAGTCATTCCCACACAAGGTAGGGTCCCAGCTCCGTGTCCATTAAATTTACCTTGCATTTGGCAAGGAAAGGAGCTGCAGTGACTCAGACACTGGGAGGGATACAAATTTCATTGTCCCGATTGCTCTACCTATCTCTCCCCCAAAAAATAACCTCTGATATTCGCCTCAAATCACAAACTGAATTACCATAGCAGTGCCCAAAATAACATGCAGGATGTGATGAGAACCTGGAATTCCAAAATCAGGAACACTCAGGATTAAATTTAAAATCCCCACCCTTCAAAAAAAAAAAATCCTCAAGGTTATTCCTCAGGGTCATACATAGACTTGTCTAGTTCCACACCTTGCCTTTCCTCTGTGCATTCTCTGTGGAGAATGAGACCCTAAAGCAGAGGAAACACATTCATTTAAAGGAATTCACAATGAACAAGAAATGTCTTTGAATCTACTATACTATTTGAAAAACTATTTGTTTTCATGCTGTAAATTAATGCATGAGTAAATGATTTAACACTTTCGGAAAAAATAAGCTGAGAAAAATTGGCCTAGAGCTTTGAGACCTCCTATCACACCACTGAATGCTGGAAATCCATCTGTCCTTCTTAGTGTGACAGAAGAAATCTGGAAATAAAACCAATATTGTGTGGGGTGGGGATGTAGCTCAGTAGTAAAGCACTTGCCTAGCATGTATGAGTTCCTAAGTTTGATCCCCTGCACTATAAAATAATAAATACATACATACATGCAAACATACAAATATTGTTAGGGCCTGAAAATAAAATTTTTAAAAAATATTTACAAAATACTGAAGATCCAAAATGAGAAATGAAGGATAGATATGTCTCTAGAAAACTTCCTAAAACCGGTATCAGGGCAAATTATTAGTCTGCTAGGGTTTCCATAACAAAGTACCACACAGACTGGTTAGCTTAACACAAATTTATTTCTGGAAAATGTGGAAGCAGGAGTTACAAGATCAAGGATTGATTTCTTCTGAGGCCTCTCTCCTCTGCTTGTAGATGGCCATCTTCATGCTCATGTGATGCCCTCCCTCTAGTATGTTTTTGTGTCCAAAGTTCCTATTCTTGTAAGGACACCAGTTATAATTGATTAAGGTCTTCCTTAATGACTTCATTGACTTAATTAGCTCTATTCAGACAGAGGAAAAAAAGGTTTGCCTTATTGTTTGAGAGGGAGGGAGGGAGTTGGTAGTGAAGGTCTTGTCATTTACCCAGTGGCATTAGGGAATATAAACAGCCAGCATAGGTTCTAGGCAGCATGAGATTATATTAGATAGAAGGAAAAGTGTGGGCTACAGGAGAGTTGAAAGCTCTGAGGGAAATGGCCCTAGTTGTGTTTTAGTCTAACCTAATAATTCTCAATTATGGGTAAGCTTACACCAAGGAACATTTAACAAAGTATGGAGTCATTTTTGGTTGTCACAACTGGAGTTGTAGAATTGGTAATTTAGTAATTAGAGACTAGGTCTGTTGCTCAACATTCTACAACACAGGACAGTGCACATCAAGAATTATCTCACCCAAAATGTCAATACAGTTTGTCCTCATATCCATGTGTTCTGCATCCATGGATTCAACCAAACTTGGATCATGTACTACATAGTTAGTGCTACCATGGTTGTGTCTGTACTAAACATGCAGAGACTTATTTTCATTATTCCCTAAACAAAATACTATAGCAACTATTGACACAGTATTTATGTTGTATCATGTATTATAAGTCATTTAAAGATGATTTAAAGTATGTGGAAGAGGCCAGGCATGGTGGCTCACACACATATGTAATCCCAGCTACTCGGGAGGTGGAGAGTGGCAGTTCAAAGCCAGCCAGGCAAAATGTTAGCAAGACACCTCAATCAATAAGCTAGGCAGTGGTAGTACACTCCTGTGGTCCCAGCAACATGGGAGGCCATAGGTAGGAAGATTTCAATATGAAACCAGTCCAGCAAAAATGGAAGAACCTATCTGAAAAACAACTAAAAAAAAGGGTGGGCATGTAGCCCAAGTGGTAGAGTGCCTGCCTAGCAAACAGGAGGCCCTGAGTTCAAACCCAGGACCGCAAAAACAAAACAAACAAAAAAGTATACAGGTGGGATGTACATAGTTTATATGCAAATACTACCAACTGCCCCATTTTATATGAGACTTGAGCAGCTGCAAACTTAGGTATCCATAGAGGAGAGAAAGTTACCCTGGAACTAATCCCCCTTGGACACTAAAGGGACAACTATATTTGGCATTATTCAGTTTTGCATGTGTACAGTACATTTATCCACTACCATAGTCAAAATACTGAGCAGTTCCAGCCCTACAGTGATGCCTCTTGGTGCCTTTTGTGTGAGTGTATATGTGTGTGTGTGTGTGTGTGTGTGTGTGTGGTACTGGGGTTTGATCTCGGAGCCTCATGGTTGCTAGACAGGTGCTCTGCCACTTGAACCACTCCACCAGCCCTTTTTTGTGGTGGGTATTTTTGAGATAGGGTCTCAAAAACTATTTTCCCAGGCTGACTTCAAAGCACAATCCTCCTGATCTCTGCCTCCTGAGTAGCTAGTATTACAGGCATGAGCTATCAGTGCCCGGACACTCGTTGCCTTTTATACCCACACCACTTTTCTCCCACCCCTATCTCTAACCCCTGAAACTACTAATCCATTCTCCATTTCTAAAATTTTGTCATTGAGAGAATATTATAAATCACAGAGCTTGTAATTTGGGGGTGGGGGGATTTTGGCTTTTTCATCCAGCTTCAGTTTCCTGGAGAGTCATCCAAGTTGTGTGTATTTATAGGTCATTCACTTTTACTATTGAATAGTATTCCACAGTATGGGAATACTAGAGTTTGTTTAACCTCTCACCCATTGAAGTATATCTGGGCTGATTCCAGTTTGGGTTTTCTATAAATAAAGCTGCCGTGAACATTCATGTATAAGTTTTTGTGCAAATGAAAGTCTTCATTTTACCCAGGAGTAGAATTGCTGAGTCCTGTGGTAATTGTATGTTTAGTTTTTTAAAAAACTGCCAAACTGTTTTCTTGTGAGGATTTTGTAAACATAGAATTTCCTGCATTAAGTCCCTTTCTGCTTGATATACGTTCAACAGTCTCTGTGTCTAGCTGTAACCCTTGACTGAGATGGTGGTACAGACAAGACTCAAACTTCAGACTCTGTTCTTAATCAAGACAAAAATGCTCACCTACTGGTGAGCGACATTGAAAGAGAAGGGTTTGAGCAACAAAAAGCACACAGAGGAGAATTGGAGACCATTTCCTTTTTACCTTCCTTTAGAATTTATATCATTCAGAAAATAAGCTCTCAATTTTGAAAAAAAAACTTATAAAATCCAAGTCTGTAGGACATGAAACAACACAGATGCCTATTTTCCACTTGAAAAAAAAATTATATAAAAAATCTTTGTTAGAATGTATAAAAGAAGCAGCAGGGTTTTACAAACAGAATTGGAAGGCAATGAAATAGCTTGATACTATCTTCTAGCAGAGTATGTAGAAACAAATGGGCTACATAGCAGATAAAGTTGGGCTGCCTGCCTATATCCCTAAGGACTTAGCACTTCATAGACTCCAGCCCTTAACTCCACTTGTTCTTTTTTTTTTTGGTATTAGAGTTTGAACTCAGGGCCTACATCTTGAGCCACTCCACCAGCCCTTTTAGTTATTTTTGAGATAGGGTCTTGCTTTATGCCCAGACTGGCCAGGATCAAGATCCTCATATTTATCCTTCCCTGGTAGCTGGGATGACAGGCACGAGTCACCATACCCACATTTTCAGTTGTGATGAGATCTTGTGAACTTTTTGCCTCTAACCTCAATCCTCCAGATGATCTCTGTCTCCCAAGAGGCTAGAATTACAGGCATAAACCACTATACCCAACCAATTTTTGTTTTTTGAGCTGAGGTCTCCCTATGCTTCTCAGGCTAGTCTTGAATTCCTGCGCTAATTCCTGACTCAGCTGCCTAAGTATCTGGAATTGCAGATACACATCACCACACCTTGATGTGTTTATAAAATAAACTTTAAAAGTATTCAAATTAATTGAAGACATTTATTTCTCTTACATCCTCACTCATATAATTTTTCATCAGATAGATCTCTGTCTTCAAGCAAATGAGTATTATGAGGTCTAGATCATCTTACTAGGATTATTACACAATTCAGGACAGAGCCCAGATGGTCTTCAGCACTCCTTTGTCCTAAAATGAATTCCCAAAGACATGTCTCCTTGGGTTAAAGGAAGCTGTGTATGTTGGAAAGAGTGAGCCATTTAAAAAACAATTCACTAGGATTGAAGTTCTCTTTAGTGTTTCTCAAAGGAGCTGTAGCAAATTCTGAAATGCATATGATTCAAGGTGCTTGCCTTTATAATCCTGGCCTCAGATTAAGTCCTGCATCAAGACCTTTAATGGGCATCAAAGTACTAGGATGATGATTGAAGCCATTCCTAGTTGCTGTAGACTCAGCCTGGATGGAAGAACTGAGATTTATGACAGCATATTGAACATGTTAAACATGTTAACACAAAATAACAAGATTTCTCTGGCAGTAGAGAACTTAGAATTTAAAATGAGACCAATATCATAACTTTGAGGCAATTTTGACATATTATAAGAATCAGACTGGTAGCCAGGTACTGGCAAGTTTCCACAGTCAGTCAAGGGTATTTTACTACCTCATCTAATTTAAAGAACAATGTATTACTTCATCTGTACTGTTTTATGCTATAGGAGATACACTTTTATTGAGAAAGACTTTCAGAAATGTTAGAAATGAAGGAGTAGGCACATATGTGTTCTCAAAATTCTGAGACAAGAATGCTGAAACAGGACCCAAAAGACTTAAAGCTTTATATGCACTTACCTGGGGTTTGCTGCCACCAATGAAAAAAATAATGCTGTGCTTCCCTGGGGGAGATTCTAACTAGACAGCACAGCCATGATTCCAAGTGAGAAACTGAGATTATCAGAATGGAGAACTTTCCCAATGAATAGTCTCCTACTTTGAAAACCATTGGTCTATTTTTAAAAAATTTGAAAATTTAAAATATGAGAGCACTAGAGACAAATTGACTTTAGGCACA